CACATAGGTCCACTGCCTGCTCTGTTGTTGGGAGCCAGGCCCACCGAAGGATTTCCCTAAGACCCTGATGTATGAAGGAGGAAGGTAGTTCCTTGCCTAAACCCAGGAACATGCTTGGCAAGGCTAGTAATGGCCTGAGGCCTGGGACTTCAGATCGTGGAACCTCAATTCTTGCCCCATTAAGGGATGTGGTTATCAGTCCCAGGGCTGCTGTGTGCTCAGTCTATGATAAACTGGACATATCCTGTGTTCTCCTTCTACAACATTGATGAATTAGTTTCCTGCTGACTTCATCCTATTGTATGATAGATAGCTTCCCACTTATTCTGTGCCATTTTCCCCCTGCAAACAGTATAAAAGATGTTGTACTTCTTAATAAGCTTGGTGGCATGAGCCATCAGCTTGTCCGAGATCACCTGATTGCAAACTTTCATATCTTCTTTATCTTTACACACCCTAGTTCTCTCTGCCAGGAACCTAGCCCAGATCACTCCATACTCTCTCTGAGCTCATCTTCTGGAGTTTCTCAGTGAGACTGCCATGTGCCTGGGTTCAGAAGGCATGGGTCTCACGCAAAAGCCTTCAATGATTAGCCAACTGCTGGGGTCCCCGACACCCTTTCAAGTTGTCTGATAGACCAAAGCCAATTTCATAGCAATATTGGGACACAAATGACCTTTTTCATTGTGCTGATATTTGCACACAGCGGGGTGAGTATACACCAGAGCATGAGGAAGAATCCAGACAGTACCATCATCCCTTGCTGGTGGTCGGTGTATTCCCAAAGCCCTGTGACTTCAAACAAAAGGTAGTCTCACTGAAGAATACCCCTCATGAAGTAGGAATCTTAATTGCTACATTAACATCAAGTCTAATTTTACCACTGACAGTGTTCAAGCTCTTTCTAGAAGAAGCATCTTCCAACATATTGAGGCAGGATGGAGGGCAGGAAAAGCCTTGTGTATGGAGGCTGAGCTATCCTCCAGGAAAAGCTCCATGTGGCTACCACAGATGTGACTAAACAGGACACCACCTTCAAGAATCATCACTTTCAAAGGCAAACTGGCTATGCAAAGCTGGGACCTTACCAGTTATTTTCCCCACAATGAGCAGTTACTCTATCACTTCAGATAATAGATAGTGATTGTTACCAAAAATAACATTTCAACTTCCAAGTAAAGAATCTGAACTTTGGAAGATCATCATTCACTATTGTGGGCTGAGATGGAAGGACCGATGCTAAGGAATGTGACTGGTGGTTATCTAATCAGCATGGCGAACCTCTGACACTGAAGCATATGGGCATAGGGCAGCTCTCCTCTGCACACCCCTGCCATTCAGATCTCCCAGAACAGGGTCAGCTTTTCTCTTACTTGATAACTTCTGGGACAGGAAAACCTAGGCCACAGTGCATCTGCACTCTCCTCAAATGTACTGGCTGGCTGCTAGCAGGCCAGCATGCTTCCTTTCTGAAAGACTGCCTTTCCTGCCACCAAAGCAGGTCACATAAGTTCTGCACATGGTCACCCAGCATTTCCAGGCAACTGCAGTAGCAGTGGGAGCAGTTTTTCCAAAGTTGGCTATCCTGGGCCAATACTCTCTGCTCACCTCCATTGCTATCCTACCTCCTAACTAGCTCCTGGGCTTCAGATATGGACCAGAAGGGCAGTGCTGGCCACATCTACCACAGTGACCCTTAGCACCTGCACAGGCAGGCTCATCATACTGGAGGAATTAATAGCAGATCAATTACAAAAACTCAGTGTACAGTGGTGGCACACTCCTTTAATCCAAGCACTGGGGAGGCAAAGGCAAGCAGATCTGAGTTGGAGGGCAGCCTGAACTCAGTGTACAGTGGTGGCACACTCCTTTAATCCAAGCACTGGGGAGGCAAAGGCAAGCAGATCTGAGTTGGAGGGCAGCCTGGTCTACAGAGTGAGTTTCAGAACAGCCAGAGCTGTTTATATATAGAAATTCTGTCTGGAAAAACTAAAAAGAAAGGTCTACAGAGTGAGTTTCAGAACAGCCAGAGCTGTTTATATATAGAAATCCTGTCTGGAAAAACCAAAAAGAAACAAACACACACACACACACCAAAAAAAAAAAAAAAAACCTTAGTAGGTACAAAATCTCCAACTGAGGACCACAAATGAACCAAACATAGCTACAGCTACCCCGAATGTTTAAAACCAAACAAAAGATAGATGTGGTCCCTACCCTCTAGAGCTCAACCTATGGGTGGCAACCCTTTGGCAAACCTGTTTCCAAAAATATTTACAGTACAATTCATAACAGTAGCAAAATTACAGTTCTAAAGTAGCAATGAAAATAATTTTATGGTTTGGGGTTCACCACAACATGAAGAACTCTATTAAAGGGTCTCTGCATTAAGAAGGTTAAGAACCCTGCTCTAGAGCCTGCCCTGCAAAATAATACACTCTACCTACTTCAGCATAGGAGAAGCCACGGGAGCCATGGGGATCCAGATGTAGTCTCCTTCACAGGCTGTATAACCTAAAGCTGTGGCCTGTCTCCCTGAGTAGCCACCTGGTGCACAGGTATGACCTTGGATCTGGCACAAGGTGCAGTGTCCAACTTCCATTTTCATCCCTAAAGTCACTGCCTTTTAACCACAAAGCCTGAGGTCCTAGTTTGGTAGTTTGGTTCACAGTCTGGAGCCATGAGTCCCTGGAAGCCCCATAGGGGGGCTTATCAAACACACTTTGGTAAGTCAACCTAGCCTTTGACAAATGCTGGAGACACAGGTAAAGGCCAGGTAGGAAAATCTCCGTTCAACAAAACCAAAACTGCTTTCTGAGGGTTTCCAACCCAGACACAGGAAATGGATATTTGAAGAGAGCATTCCAGCAGAACAAAGAAAGGAGGAGAGAGAGGTGTGACCAGGAGTGGAAAATAGGCTAAGAGACAAGCCACCACTGGAAAAGGGCAGGGCCATGCAGTTCTTTGGGGGATAGTCAAGGTTCATTCAAGCCTGTATTTTAACCAAGCTTATACCCTCACAGGCTAACCTAAAATAACACTGGCTCTTGCATGGAAGGGCCCAAAGTCTTAGGATTACCTTAGCCACAAGAAATACAGTCAAGCTCCCAAATCTCAAATGGTGGAACAGAGAGCCTTCAACTGCAGCTCACATGAGGCTCATGTGGAATCAATCCCAGCCACATGAGGGAAAGACAGATAGCTACCACTGAGCTGCAAACGTGCTGTAAACACAGGTGCCAGAGGAGAGCGTGCCTTCTGCTTGTCAGCCCTGTCAATAAACCCTTTGCCTGACAACAAAGCTCAGGTGAAAAATGAAAGGCCAGCATTGATTGTGTTGTACAGCGATCTTATTTACAAACAGAAGTCAGATAATCTTGGATTTAAATGGCACAAGTCCCATCACTCACAATCAGAGACTCAACAATGATAATTTATAAACTTTTACATTATGGTTCAATCCCTTCTCTTAACAGGGAAAGGCTAAATTCTGAAGGAGTAAAAAATATGAAAACATTAACAAAGGAGGGAAGTGATAAATTGATGTTTGGGCTAAAACACGTCTCTAGTGGGCACATTTGTCTTTACAAGAAACAAAATAAGTCAAGGGCCATCTGGATCAGCAGCAAAAAGGAGGTTTCCGCTCTTCAGTTATACAAGAGGATGCTAATTTCTCCCCATCCGCCTCCGGTAAAACCCAGGGCTCCTTGACATAACACTTGGCTGATCCCTTCAGATTAAGCCTCAGGGTCTAAGCCATTTTCTGAAGCTTTATTTGACCTTCAGGTCCAGTAGTTGAGCTGAGACCTCTTCAGCAGACACCTATTCAGAAAGATAAGGCCCACTGCGGCCCAGCTGGCTTCCTGATGCCAGGGGGGCTAAGACTCCACCTTAGCTGGCATGGCACAGGCCATGGCCTTCCTTGCATAGCTTCTACAAGTGGCTCCCAGAGAGAATCTTGGGAATTTGGTTCCTCATGACAGTTAAACCCCACTCTAACCTTCCCTCTCCTCTGTCAACAAAAGTCCTTGTCCTCCTATGGATCTCCTTTCACCACACTCAATCCTGGGAGTCTATACTTGTCACTTCTGTGCACAGTACTAAGACACCTGGGCTCCAGTCCTCTAGGAATGACTCATGCCTTGCTCAAGGGCAGAACATAGTGCCAAGTACAGAGCATGTGCTTAGGAAAGGAATTATGGGCCAAAACCATCCCTAACATTCCACAGGGCTAAGTGCTGATCTGCCTACTTCAGCCATTGCTATATAAGTCATCCACTCCTGTGCCCATCCTTAATTCATCAGCCAATGAGGTATCTTACAGGCACTGTGCAGGAAGTACACAGCATACATACAAACACTGTTTACATAAAATCAAGCTGTCATAACACTTTTCTGTGAATGTCCCAGCCACTAACTCTAGCTTACATGGAGACCAACAATGTCCCCACCACGATGCCTAGGTACCCAGGACTCTAATAGCTGGAGTCTCCCCATGGACCAGGCACAGTGAGAGTGACCCATGCATACAGAGTCATGCCACCAAAGCTGGAAGGACTATGTGGGCTGCTCACAGACCTAGAAGGTCCAGTCTAAGGATGCTGCCTGCATCTGATGTCCTTTAAGGGATAGGTGTCCATGAGTTGTCCAAGGACTCAGGGCCCAGTGCCCACAGTCATGCTGAAGGCTGAAGTATGCAGGAAAAAGTAATGGTGAGACGAGAGCATGGGAATCAGACTCCACACACACCTTCGTACTGGAATACTTGGAAGGACACAATTACTTTACTATCCCCAGAACCAGGAGCATGTACAACCCATCTCATGCCTTGTGACCCTAGGGAGTATGTGTTGCTCCACGTGGAGAAAGGCTACCCGCTTTTTCAGGTAGACACCTTTAATTCAGAAACCAGCTAGTGGAGTGTAGCTCAGTGGCCTTCCTACACTTCAGCTGCAGGATGTTGTCGAGAGCCTCTGGAGCCTCTGGAGCTTCAGGCTCACCTGAATGCCATCCAGCAGCTTGCTCATGCACCAATAGGTGTCAGCCTCAATGTTGCGAAGCACCTCTGCCGGCACACTGGAGACATCGACCTCATCCACGTCCTCCTGGTCTGTGCAGAACAAGCATGGAAGATACAAGAAGCAATCAACCATGTGAAATAAACAAATGGGAAATGCAGCCATCCGCATGCACGTCAGCATCCCTCCACCACGTTTTTCATCATGTTGAATAAATGGCTCATGAGCCTCACACCTCATCACTTAATGGTTCTCAATTTTAATACCTAATTAGCTGCAGATAATTAATATTCTGAATCCACTCCGATTAATTAGCATAATTAATATATTGTAAATTATTACTTCTCAGACATCTCATACTCTAGAAAGAGAAAATCTACCATATATTGCTAAGTCCTAATAGATCTGAAAGTTTCTCCATCAGAGTTTTAAAAACTCCTTCTAATAGATATGCATATTCACTCAGCAATAATTCCTCTAAACTACAGTTTCTGAGGTAGAGCTTTCCAAACTGCTCTGGGTAAAAACTTCTATGCTAACACCTAACACCCCAGAAGGCAAAGACCCAGATCAGCCTCAGAGAACACAATGGTGCTGGAATTCATTTCCTTCTGAAAGCAGAGACAGCAGATGCCTAACTGAAATGATTCATCAGATATTTGAGCAAGCTCATTTTAGGCCTTTAGAAGGACTATCACCCAGGAAAACTCTCATAAACAATTTTTAAAAATTGACCACCCATTTTATCATTTTATTTGTAAACACATGTGCATCTTTATAAAGAAAATGTTCTTTAAGAAGGAAACATTTTAGCCCAGACACATTTAGAAAGTTTAGGCAAAGTCCAGCAATGCTAAAAAAAACTGCTAACAATTATCAAAAGTTTATTTATTATTTTCCCATCATCCCCTCCCCCATGCTTCAGACACATCCACTTAGGTAACCTGCCACAACTCTATTCTCATTGTCAGGTTCTCTAACAGCCTGTCTCGTGCAGAGAAACAGCAGTGCAGAAAAGGTAAACAGGCCAAAATTTGGGAAGCCCTCAATCTGTACCCCACAACAAACCTGGGTCAAGCCTCCAGCCTCCCAGTCATTCTCAGCCATCATTCTAGACCATCTTCATAACTGCTCCCCACAAAGGCCTAGGCCACAACCCACCAATCTCCTAGCCCTCCTTAGTGATGACTTCTTCACCAGCACCTGCATGGCTCCTGGCACACATAAGGATGGGAACATTGCCTTCCTGGTCATTTGTATTCAAAGACCAGAAAGGTAATGAGGAAAAGAGCTGTCACTTCAGGTTCCTGAGTAGAAGTCTACAAACAGGCTCTTTGAGCTGACTTACAGAGCCTGGAGATGGCGACAGCCCTACACATAATCAGCAGGACCCAGCTATTTGGTCACGTAAGTCAGTGACCACCAGCTCATACCTCACCTACAGTGATGCATAAATGGTGCTAGTGCCCAGTTCTTTCTGTAACACTGCTTACGTTTAGGGTTTTATATTTTAAATTGTAACATAATTCATACCATGTTATCTACTTTTTAAAGGTGTAAATGCAGGACCTCCAACACATTTACATACTGCAAGCACATGTCATTCTGTGTACAGAGTTTGTGAGATCACCACCATGAATGCCAAGGCATTTTCCTTACCCCAGGAAGAATCCCTGTCCCTTTCAGGATTCACCTCCTTCTTGCCCTCCTCCCAATTCTTGGCAGCATCCACCTAACTCCTGTCTGCAGCCGTACTTATTATGGATGCCTTGTAGTGAGGAGCCCACTCCCTGTGGCCTTGGTGCCTAGAATCTTTCACGGGTATGTTTTCAGGGTGCCTGCATGCTGGAGACTGTCCAGGACTTCCAGGAATTGTCTCAACTATGGGGTGATGGAAGTAACAGGTAGCTGGGCTGATGATACTCTATATGGGAACTATCATTGCAGCCTAAGCCCTGGGCACAGAGCTAAGCAGGACAGGCAATATCCACCAAGAAGTTAATTCATTAAAGGAAAATATGTGTTCAGGGGCCAGGACAGCCCAGGTGTCAGAAAGAACTGGGTCAGTGACCACTGAGATACCACGTGAAGGATACTGTCACTCATGTCAAGCTGGACCCAATGGATTTACCACCCTAAGAAACATACTTGGTTATCATCAACTTTCCCCCTTCCCTTGGATACAGGTCAGATTGACAGGCAAAGCTGTAGCATCTCACCTAACTCTCCTGAGTTCCCTTGTGACAGCCACACTCTCTGGCAGCTCCGTGCCCTACAGGCCTGCAGGGATTCAAAAATGCTCTCCTATGGTCTGCCCTCAGAAGCCCAGTTCTGGAAAACTTCTGATCTGAACACACCCTCTGATGAAGCCCCTCAGTGATTCTGTGAGAAAGGTGCTCTCTCCTCAGTCCCACAGGCTGCAAAAACAGAGGTTATCACCTCTCTCAGGTGACAGATGTTCTCACTGGAAGGCAGAATAGGGGAACCCCCAGGCCTAGTGCAGCCCCATTGCTCCCCTTTCTGCTGAGTGCAATGGGAAGGTCTAGAATGCAGATGTAGGTATGAACTGCTTCCTCCTGCTCCCCAGGAAAATGACTTCAGCAGAACTGATTCCTATCCTGGGAGCCTAGGAGCAGGGCTGATTTTATTTTCCAGTCTTGGGACATTGAATCGACAACCACAGTCGGAGGACATCTTCTGAGGTGTTTTCTATTGACATATTCTTTTTCAAGGGCCTTCCAAGCACGAGGATGTTTCCTTGGGCATAATAAAAGGGGAAGAGTGAGAAGAGCCCTCTCAGACTGCACAGGTTCACAGAAGCAGCTGGGCTAGCATAGCCTGGACCTGCATGAAACAGGCACTGCATGGGGCGGGCAGAAGCCTCAATATTTCTTAGTCTGTTTAGCCAGCTTATTATTTTATCCAAGGAAATGTCAGCAGCCTATTCTGGGTGTCATTTCTCACAGCAGGTCATTTGTTACTCTTCAATGTAATGAAGTAATGGCATTTAACTCCAAGAAACCCTCCACCGATTTGTCTTCTAAACGCCAAGAGAATCAGACTTGCCCTCACTGTTAGAATAAGATAAATACCCTGGCCCCCATGACAGCCACACATACTATAGATAGGCAAGGATGGAGACACAGGCACATTGGAAGATGCGGGCTGTGGGTACAGATTCAGAACCCAGTGCAGACTGCCAAGGCCACCTAGAGAGGATACCCCTAAAGAGAACAGGATGCTGACCATCCCAGGAGACATGGCCTGGACAGCACCATAGGCAAGACCAGATGGCCTGACTCCCCTTCCATGTACTGGGAGCTGATATGCTGACCTAGTGACTCTAAGAAGCAGGCAGAGGACAAACATAGGGGTACAGTGAATCCTCTCAGTCAAGACATCTAACTCCAGAAGACATATGTTCCACAGAGTGTGCTGTCATAGGGAAGGAGGGCAAAAGGTCAAGCTGAAGGGAACTGGTGTGGGGCCACCAGGAAAGCCCATGGATGGGGACTGAGTGGACTATCGGTCGGACATCCACAGCTAGGGAGCCTGCACTGATGCAGAAGGGTTTAGCTCTCCAACCAGCAAATACCCCAGCTGCAGCTATCCTACCCATAAGATGTCACCATCATACCAGTGGAAAAATTCAATTCAGCTAAGATGACAGATAAGAAAAGACAGCGTCAACATTGAGGAATCCCAAGCAACCCTAGGGTTCTAAGGAAGAAACATATTTCAGAAGGAAAAGGTATCAACACAAAGGTGAAGACAGAGTAGGAAATATGACCTGGATAGTCACCAGGTGGAGGGCAGGGCCTAAGTGAAACTGTACTAGCCAGACAGTGGGCCAACTCAGGGTCAAGGCTGTCCTTAGGGTTTAGTGACTGCTGTTTCCTCCCCGGGCCATCCACACACTCTGCTCCACAAGCTGTCTAGAAGCAGGAGTTAGGTGGGTGATGTACAGTGTACCTCTGGACTCAGAGAGGGAGGTAATATACAACCTTAGCCCAGGACTGGACCCAGGAACCCATGATAAGGCTGAGTACTTTTAGGGACTCTCTAAGGTGACTTTTAAACTAACAAATTATTAAGTGTTTTTCATCTGCAATTTGACAAGTGTCAAGTTCTTGCTCTTCCATTTAATTATAAACTAGAATGGAAACAAGCATGTGTGACACCACTCTGGAGTGTACCACCCTTCTCTTCCCCACAATCTCAGTGTCTTACCTCCACTCAGGACCCAGATCCTGAGCCCTGTGCCATGGGAACAATGAATCTCCAAAGCAGCCACAAGTTTAACAGGGCACACAAGTTACCTCAGGAAACCTAGAGGAAGCAGAGAAGTATCTCCTACAGCCAGGACAAAAGCTCTAAGATTCCAGGAGGGCCCTGAGGGAACACTGAGTCACAGAATAAAGCACAGCCATTAGATTCAGGGCAATCTGACTCCTTAGATCATGGAAAGGCTTTGGGGTAAGTTGCTTTGAAATCACTTCTATGTTATTGGGTACAAAGTCAATCTGAAAATAACCTCGTGTTGTCAACAACTCATTTACACTGAAAGAATCACTAGGAGACCCACAGCTCACAGGGCACACAGAGAGCTGAACCACTCTTCCTCCTCTGAAGAAGGGTCCAGGGTAGAATGGAAGCCAGAGTCTCAGAAGGAATAAGAGAGATGATGCTGTTAGAGCTGTCAGAACAGCTCATCTTTCCCAATTGCCAAGAGCAACATGACTGTGATGCGTGCAGGGCACCTGTGGCCAAAACAATTAGGTGAAGAAAGCTGCTGACATTCAGTGGGCAGGGCCAGTGCTATCAGAGGGAGACAGCACTGAGGGAGACAGTACTGGAGGGAAGCCCTAACCATCCCCAAAGTCTGCATGGATGTGTGGGTAGACAGACAGCTGCAGGGGAAGGGAAGAGGGTGGGAAGTGGTGGGTGGTAAGGAGGTGGACAGATGAGGGAACAATCTAGGACACTTGGGACAGGAGGCAAGCACACCCAGGTACCTAAATGTGGCTTTGCAGTATCCAAAAGCTATGCTAGAGAAGCAAAGAACAGAATTTTCAGTCCATCTTCCTATACC